TCGCCTGAGCTTCGTGGCAACAGCTTATCCGGTTATAGCCGAATTAATCAAGATGTTTCGCCATCGCAGTAACCTTTGGAAATAGCTAATAGTTGTTTCATCGCAGAATTCAGAGCGTTTCTCTAAGTTTCGGTAGCTTCCTAGAATTACTCAATTTGTTACAGCGGACGGTAAGATTGATTTTGAAATTATTTACTATTTTTAGATATTAAAATTGATCTGTGCTGTGCCTTATAACAATGTACAAATCCTTTCATATTATTATTAGTGTAATTTATGAATAATATACCTGAAAAGGTAGAATTTGAAGTATAAAGTTCATTCATTCATTAATGCTTTCAAAAATTGTATACTTTCAGACCCCCTGAAGCTAACTTTTTACCAAACTTTGCAAGTGCAATTTTGTTCAAAAGTCCAATAGTAAACCGCCAAAATAATTAAACTATTAAAGTATTTAACTAGTTACCAGTTAGCTACGTACTACTCATTACTCCCTCAAATAGACGAATGTGTGATGTGAGTAACTCGTATTATTTTGCTGGCTTGATCGATACAAATGGTTTGTTGTCACGATATTTACTTACCTTTGTTCTGAGAAATTATTGGTTAAGTAGGTCTTGTAAGTCCTCCGTTTATTTAACGTAGTTATGTAATCATAGACACATACTTATGTTTATATTTTTTTAGACATTTTTTCACACTTATAGTTGTTTTCAAGACTTACACGTATCTACCTACTTAATTCCTTTGAGTGAAATTAAATCATTTGGAAACCCTGAAAGTAAATTAAATTAGTTAGGTAGAATGATCTTTTCATTTCCAATTTAATCCAATCGATTGACGCGGCTCGTCTCATCCGGCCACGTTATAAATGGCGTGTAAGTTTCTGTAAAAGATTCAGGTAGTGTCCCACTCCGGACAAATTGGATCCAAACTAAGTTTGCTCCGAGTAATGAAGTAATACTACAAATGGGACGGCGAGGGACAGGATGGCTTATTTCCCCTCACTGGGCCTACATTATTCACGGGATGGAAATATGTAGTTTAGAAGCTAAGTAAACGGTGGCTCGCTAGAAAAGTTTCTCGGCCTCTTGAGTTCCGAATTAAACGCTTCAGCGAATTGCTTTTAGTAAAGTTCAAGTTGAGCAAACTACAGTAATAGAAACAAACTGTAGTGTTTATAAATAGATAGAGTCTATAAATAAAATATACAGTGCCCAGGTACGTCTCTAGTAATTTCGGAAACCCTGAAAGTAAATTAAATTAGTTAGGTAGAATGATCTTTTCATTTCCAATTTAATCCAATCGATTGACGCGGCTCGTCTCATCCGGCCACGTTATAAATGGCGTGTAAGTTTCTGTAAAAGATTCAGGTAGTGTCCCACTCCGGACAAATTGGATCCAAACTAAGTTTCCTCCGAGTAATGAAGTAATACTACAAATGGGACGGCGCGGGACAGGATGGCTTATTTCCCCTCACTGGGCCTACATTATTCACGGGATGGAAATATGTAGTTTAGAAGCTAAGTAAACGGTGGCTCGCTAGAAAAGTTTCTCGGCCTCTTGAGTTCCGAATTAAACGCTTCAGCGAATTGCTTTTAGTAAAGTTCAAGTTGAGCAAACTACAGTAATAGAAACAAACTGTAGTGTTTATAAATAGATAGAGTCTATAAATAAAATATACAGTGCCCAGGTACGTCTCTAGTAATTTCGGAAACCCTGAAAGTAAATTAAATTAGTTAGGTAGAATGATCTTTTCATTTCCAATTTAATCCAATCGATTGACGCGGCTCGTCTCATCCGGCCACGTTATAAATGGCGTGTAAGTTTCTGTAAAAGATTCAGGTAGTGTCCCACTCCGGACAAATTGGATCCAAACTAAGTTTCCTCCGAGTAATGAAGTAATACTACAAATGGGACGGCGCGGGACAGGATGGCTTATTTCCCCTCACTGGGCCTACATTATTCACGGGATGGAAATATGTAGTTTAGAAGCTAAGTAAACGGTGGCTCGCTAGAAAAGTTTCTCGGCCTCTTGAGTTCCGAATTAAACGCTTCAGCGAATTGCTTTTAGTAAAGTTCAAGTTGAGCAAACTACAGTAATAGAAACAAACTGTAGTGTTTATAAATAGATAGAGTCTATAAATAAAATATACAGTGCCCAGGTACGTCTCTAGTAATTTCGTACTACTGTAATATCTAAAAACTTATCATCAATATTTATAACTATTTATATTTCAAAGACCGTAAACCCGTTGAAAAAGAGGCTGACAATAGTGACTGAGTTTCTTGCGCTACTTCTTCTCAGCACTGGCCGATTTATTATCCCGAAGCAGTGGTAGGGTTAATACTGGGACGTGTAAAAGTGCTTCAAAAATAAATTAGTTTTATGAAATTAATTAGTGTCAGAATGGAAAAGCGACGCGTTAAAATATACATACATAATACAATTAAAGTTTATTATCTACCTCTATTCGAGTCGACGCGTGTGCACGACTTATATGAAATGTCCTTTGAAGCATCTGGCGCTGAAAAAGTCAGACGTCGGCAAACACAAGGACGCGCTCACGGCTTAGCGCCGGAAGAGCAGCGTTCAGCCTGACAGTTTACAGGGCGGGCCACACCACACTAAATTTAACATTTGATTTTAAGTCAAGATTCTTCTTCTTAGTTGGGCACTCTTGTCAGAGTGGTCTTGGTTGCGCTGACGAGCTCTCCTGGCGATGTGCTTCCATTTCTGACGGTTAGAAGCGTCGAGTACACTGGACCGTGGTGGACTCAGTGGCCTTTGTGATGGCGTCTATCCAGCGGGTTGGCGATCGACCGCGTGGTCTCAACTAAAGAATAAAAGCAACTAAAACCCAAATAGGTTACTGCAGGGTTTGTTGTAAGCGGACATGCTTCAGTTGAACCATGAGTTCACTAAAAAGTTGGTATAACAGCCGAACCCTTCATTTAACTAAGGATTAGCAACTACTAACCCAAAACTTACTGCTAGTTACTAGGGTTCACCGTGAGAGTACCTACATCCTTCAGTAAACTATGAGTGAACTAAAAAGTTGGTGTGACTGTGTTAAAATGTCTGCAAATGAATTTATTCACGTAGCGCTACGTTTTTTGTTACACCTTAGAGGGTTAATGTATGAATGCATGTATTGTAATGTTTGTATGTGCTGAATATGTTAATGCAAATGAATAAATAAATACAATCAAGTTACCACTTTTGTCACATAACTTTTTAGAGGATTTTTTGTACTCTACTATTTGTTTCATAACAATGGACGAACAGCAGCAGCCACGTATAATTAAAATGTTTAAAAAACCGTTACCCCCAACTTACAGTATTTTTTAACAAATCGTAAACCATGGTGAAACTCGCCTTGCAGACCACATCACACACACGGCGCCACAATATCTCCTCAAATTGTTTCCTACGGAAGCTCCCGAAGGAAGCGTCTCTAATTGCGCCACCTGTAATTACTGGGAAGGATTATTCCTGGATTCAGGATAATGGCCGCCGGTATTCACGCGTCAGTTCGCGTCCTTTTATCTTGGGGATGAAACTCTTGCAGTGCCTTTAGCTTTATAGTGCAGCTAAGATTGTCCTGCGTAAAGGAAACCCTTGAAGGCTCGAGTCTATGCGTCCTCATAATCCTTAAATCCTTTTCAAGGATCTAAGGACTAGACAATCTGTTTTGTAGTGCAATATAATTTTGCCTATAGATATAAAAGACCCTTATCTCGGTAGTACTAGTCCCGTAGTAAGATGGTACTTATAAAATAAAAATCACGTCCATGAGCGTTGTGGGCGGAGAAACTCACTGAAGTACGAAAGTAGATAGAGACGTTTTTCTGCTTACGTCTTTCTGTAAAATTGGTAAGTAGGTACCTAAGATGATAAAAACCAAAAAAGTGTCTAAATAAACGTGTTTTTATTAGGATTTGAGACATGAGAGACTATCTTCAAAAGAACACATTTAAGAGAAGTTGTAAACGAAAAAATCACAGTCCTATTCACGAAGCTCGCGTCAAGTCGTAATTCGTTCAGGCGTCCCCCAGGGCGCGGCGAGTGCCTACATAGTAATTAGTAGCGTCTAATGAACTTGTTTACGTACTAATAACACATTTCTCTGGATTATAAATGCGGTGAATGCCTTTGAGAATTAATTAACTCTCGAAATGTTCGTAAGAGCCACTTAAAATAATAATAATTTCTAATCTAATATAATTCCTTCAAACACCTTAGAATAGAATTTATGGGATCAAATTATAGTCGTAGGTAAGTAAAATAGTTTCTAGTTGCTCTAATCTAAACTTCCTATCTATCGCCAAAACACCAGTGCAAATTTTAATAACGGTAGTTACTCATTATAATGTTCTAAAACTGTGATTAACGATATCTTTCCTGCCAACAAGAAAAGTTCTCCCACCGCTAATCTATCTTGAAAATGGCGGTTTAATCGGCAACTTTGTAATTAATACCATGCATGCATTATCGAAAGTTCCGACCCGCCGACACCCGCAACAAAGGAACAGCTCATTCCACTTTAATTTTGCTTTCAGGCCCGTTTTAGCTGATTTGATCGCTGAAAATTTACGGTACTACTAATTTTAGGTACCTACATACCTACAACAAAAAGTCAACTAGGAGACATTGAACTGTCATAATATCGAAAGAAATGTTTACTCATGTTGATAGCACATCATAAACTTAAATCGGCTTTAATTGTTACAAAAATTGCTAGTTTTTATTGGCGCGTCTAAGTTCATGTTCCACCGGTGCTGCCCTCTATGCGACGCGCATGGCTACTCCACGTGTAAATACGTTTTGTTAATACTAGCTGAATATGATTAAATTTTGTGTAGATATAATACAAATTAATTTTATTTGCTAGTAGCTGTAAAATTGCATTAACGGGTAATTAATTAGCTTTTTTACGTTTACATGTATTATTACTTCTATTGATATTACTTGTCCAGCTTGAACTAGAGCAATAACCAAACGCTAAATTCGTTTGAGTTTTCTCAGCCGCTGTATGTGCTGTTTGGTTTTACAATTTCTGTTTTAAAATACATTAAAACTATTGTCGGAGTGTTTAAAGTAGATTTATTTGTTGGTGTTTTCTGCACAACTAATTCTAAACTTCAAAAACGTTATTCGGTAAGCTTCCCCGATCAAAAACATCTGTGCAAATTGATCCATCAAATCGTGTCTTGTTACTTTTCTATTGCTAATTCTTACCGTATTTATAATCGTCACAAGCTATTACGTCCGTAGCATCGCATTTGTAAGAGTCATTACATTGTTTTATTCCTTTTAGCCCACATTGATTTTTTATTTCAGGTTATTATCGACCTGTCAAGAAGACATTTTTTCATCAAGCTGTCCGTGCAAAATTCGCAAAATAGGAGACGAAAATCCCTTTAAGTTTTCTAATTTCATATCGAATCTGCCACCAATAGTAAGTGTTAACTATTTTCTATAACCATTTGTTGGATAAATTGCAGAAAACGCTGGTTAAGTTAAATTAGGTCTGTGAGGTAGGTCCAAAGAAAAATAATAATAAACAGTATCTAACGGAATATTTTAGCGTGAAAGGTAATTCAATAGCACTCTGTACAGTCTGATAAGCTACTGTGTACAGATTCAAAGGTAATGCTTGCAGTGACATACATTCTTTTGCATAACCTCAACATAATCATATGATTGTTGTCAATACCTACACTGAAGTTTTTCTTAAGTTCATTTTGTATGGATGCATTTAGTTTATACATGCACATCAAAATTAACCTATTACTGGCCAACAATTGTGTTTCATTTTATGTAGGCACTGCACTTTTACTCCTGCTACAATACCGTTTGCAATATCATGACATTAGAAACCTCATTACAATGTAAACATAATTGTAGTATTATGCAATAAATAAGTATTGCAAATCTTTTACACATATTTAGCAATTTTGCCAAATATTTATCTTAGTTGTCAAAACCTTCACGATAATAAAGATCAAAACTGCTCGACACAAATCACTTATCTAGGATAAATGTCNTAAATGTCTACTCACTCTTATTTATCATTTCTGGTAATTCAATAATCGTTACATATTTCTTTGTTTTTATTTAAATGTATTTTGAAATAAAGTACACTCTGTCATGGTTTTAAATGAATGTATTTTAACGTAAAGTATTTCCCGCTAGGGTGGTAGAGAGATGCCCCGCTGCAGCAAACGCACGCGGAGCGGCGCGCCGGCCAACGGCGACGTGCTGCCCGGAGCCACCGCCATCGAGGAGCACCACCATCACAAACGGTCCAGGAACAGCAGGTTTGGACACTAGTATTCTAATTATTAGGGCATTTGAAAATGCACTTAAAGGTTACGTTGTAAAAAGACATCTTTTATACTGTAGGTTGACAATTACAAAGTAAAAATGGCTGTCCACATTTTGTATTTTACTGTAACCCAAACACAAGAGCATTACAGCTCTTAAAGTTATTATATTGTAAAAATACATGTATCTATCATGAAGCGTCACTTTAATAACAAAAATGCGTCATTAATTTTCAGCTCACGTCGACATTCCAAAGCAGAAGACACTAGTTTCAGTGCAAAAAAATGTATAGCATGGTTCAAAGAATACACTACAGCGTCAGAGCCAGATATTTTAGGTATGTAACTTAACAACTTCAAATTTGTCTATACCCTGTATGTTTTATCCATAGTTGATTTGGTTTGTATTGCTAATGCCTAATATTTGTTCAGGTCCAGAAGGAATGGAAAAGTTTTGCGAAGACTTAGGTGTGGACCCTGAAAATGTTGTGATGTTGGTTATCGCTTACAAAATGGGAGCCAAACAAATGGGATACTTCACACAAGAGGAATGGCTAAAAGGTACTGGGTTTTTAATTATTGAACTGAAAGTTTTCTTGTTATTTTACATTTCTTATTTTGCCATTTCTTTGTTGCAGGACTTACGGAATTACAATGTGACAGTGTGCACAAATTGCAGAACAAATTAGAATTTTTACGCAGTTTACTCAATGACCCCTATATTTTTAAAGCCGTATACAGATATTCTTATGATTTCGCTAGGGTAAGTTGCATTAATGTATTTGAAGTATGGTAACAGTATTAGTGATGTTAGGTTATCTTTTATCAAGATATATGGACTGTATGGTCTTACTTAACACATGGTCATAAATGTCTTGCTTGCTTAAAATATGTGTTGCGTGCCGCCGGCTTCTATTATACTGTCTAAAGTTCATCCATTTGTCCATACAAAGCGACGCGTATTTGTGTATTTAATGCTCATTGGAATTTGAAATGTAAGGTGGAGTGGATATGTAATATTTCTGTTCTAGTGCTGGTAGTGACTCAAGACTGGTATAGAGCGATATTCTCACGAAACCAGTGAGCAACGTGACTGACGTTGTAGAGTACTGTCGATTATATTGATCTTAATCTGAAGACAGCATAATCGATTATTATATTTATCTATTAATTTTATTGTTATAGTTCTTGCAACTCACGAAGGCGAGTGAGCTTTAGTGTGTACGTATACATGCACATAACGATAGTGTAATGTCTGTCAAAACTTTTGAAAAACGAACAGTAACGAGCAACCACATAATGTAAAGCTCACTCGTCTTCGTGAATTGCAAATATTCGATTTTGGCCTCATTTGGCGACTTTGGCGTCATTCCTAGAATACTTGAGCAAGTGAAACATGCCCGCAGGACAAGGAGCAGCGTTCGCTAGATACAGGCACGGCGCGCGCTCTGCTAGGCGTCCTGCTGCCGCGCTGGGCGCTGCGCGGAGCGCTGGCCGACTTCCTGGCGCGCGCGCCGCGCTACCGCGTCGTCAACCGCGACCAGTGGTGCAACATCCTCGAGTTCAGCCGCTGCGTGGACGCACAGCTCACCACCTACGACGCGGACGGCGCCTGTCAGTATGCCTCGATGCCTCTGTAACTGTACTGTATACGACATAGACTTCCTGGCGCGCGCGCCGCGCTACCGCGTCGTCAACCGCGACCAGTGGTGCAACATCCTCGAGTTCAGCCGCTGCGTGGACGCACAGCTCACCACCTACGACGCGGACGGCGCCTGTCAGTATGCCTCGATGCCCNATTGCAACTTTTTTTCTCTATGTCCACCAGTGGTGGACAAATAGTGGGGGACATCGGGAATAAACGACCAGTGTGCCTACCATGAGTTTACGTTAGGTGAGCTCGCTAGCGAATACGTCAAAAAATTCTATGAAGATTTTATTTCTTGAAAGTAGTCGCTAGGGGCGCTGCACAAAATATCATACATTTAAATGTCATTTTTTTACGCAGTCGCTAGCGAGCACACCTAACGTAAACTCATGGTAGGCACACAGAGCACGGTAATACTATCTATACAGTATTCCAACTCGGCCATATTTTTGAAATAAATGTCAACAGCCCCGTGGTACGTCACGGTATGACAACATGCGATAGGGCTGCCCACCTACAGTACCCATTCTAATTACATCTGTCTACTTAGAATTTCTATCTAGTTTTGTGATTGTAATTTTTTTTTATTTAGACAAACAAAATACTTTGTGAATAGAATAGGATAAAAATGCGTGTTGTTTTGTGTTAGTAGATGTAATTTTAAAAAATATACTAAAATAATTTTGAATCTACTAATCATAATGAGTACTTAATCCTTCAAGGCCCGCGAATCTAGACACAATAGATAAATCAATTGTTATGGCATTAATGTATGCCGTCTGGGACTTTAAAGGTTAATGACCTGTTACTTTAATTTCAGGCGGATGAAGTCGTGGGCAAAAGCTGGTTTCAGAAAAACAAAAAAANGCAGGTTACAATTATTTGACGTTGGCTGGAACAACCAACGAACTATTCTATAATATTGAGATTTTGGACACGTCATAAGGTTGGAGTTCACCCGCTAAACTCTGGTAATATCCTACCCTACCTTAGGTAGTTGAGATTGTACAATTGCCCCTACTAGTGTTCTTTCCCGTTAAATCTCTCGAGCAAACGATGCACTACGCTGTCATTTTTGGCACGATTACCCTGAACTGAACTTGGATCGTGTTAAGTTTTTTTGTTTCCCACATAACCAGAGACACTTAACCATGCCAAACTATTTTTTCCTACCTTCATATTGAAAATTGTCTTACTATTCCCAGGGCCAGTGATGCTGGACGAATTTGTGGAATGGTTGCGAGCGGAGCGCAGCGGTGACGCCAGCATGGCGCCAGCCAGCTGAGGCCGGGACGCCGCCGCGCCGCGCGACCGCTAGCCCCGCCCCCGCCGACCGCCAGGTACAGTCACGCGCAGAAACACATCGTCAACGGAACGCTAACGCATCACTTATGAAGAGTATACAGTCGTGTGCTCGTGACTGTACGGACACGTTTGTTTAGTGTGGGATTGGTCTGAACCCGGACTTAAATGCGCATGCACAGTATAGACGACATCTCCTCAGAGCGCTTGTAGACGTCCGTTTTTTCACCGGACGACGGACCGTCAAAAAACGGATATCCTTTGTTTGCTGTCAATTTTCTCGCCGGACCTATGTCCGATGCATGTGCACACGTTCATTATAAACCATACACCACCGCTAAATCCGGCAAAAAACACGGTCCGTTATCCGGTGAAAAAAACGGACGTCTAAGGCTAACGTTTTGTTGCGAATTAGATCCAGCCGACTAGTGTTTAGGTTGATGCGCTGTCGACTATACGCGTGACGGAAATGCCATCGAATACTATATTATATTCAAGTTATGAATAGCCTTAGCGTTTAGAAATATGTCATCAGCTAGCAATAATTTATTGAATTTTCACGACGCGTGTTTAAATTGTGTATCCGATTTAAATTATTAAAATATCATTTTGTAACATGAATTTGCTGAATATACAATGATATTTTAATTCTCAATAAGACTAATCCTAGACTGAAGAAACTTGCGTAGGTGGACTTAAGTAACTGAAATATGAAGTTAGACACCCAATTATGATCTTACTTATCCCACAATGTCTGTGGTACTGCTATGATTTCTACTATTGAAACGTTCTAAAGTCTACTGTAACTTTGGTCTTATGTATATCATAATAACATAACATAAAGCAATGAGCTGTGTAAAATCGCAACTATTATGTTTGTGTTTCAACACTTAAGAATGGGTGTCTGACAACAAATAAATTGCTTTACTCTGCACAAAAACAAATCACACCGTTTTATACAAATACCAATTAAATTGGTCAACATAATGAATTGTGGTTAGTACATTCACTGGTTACTGTCAGCATGACTATCCAGTCTTATACCACATATCAGAACTGGGTTTCTGTTGCAAAGACTTGTTAAACTGGGTCCACAACACCTGTAGCTTTGTCGGTTTCTTTGAACGCGTTCAACCAATCATGTCAGATGACAAGGGATTTCATATGCACCGAAATTGGAAACTAGTAGCAAATACGGCCAGCTGTACTGACTAGTGTGTGTTATGCCTGTGAAAATATTGATAAATGTTAGAAATATAAAATATAGGTGCAGTGGACCTGGCATAAATCCACACTTTTATATTCGTACTGTAATCCCGTGATATAACTGTCTAACTAATGTAAGTTATGTTTATTTTTGTGTTGACTTCTTCTTGTATCTATAAGAAATCAATTTATTATTGTAAAACATGAACTTCCTTTTCAATTTTCATAATTAATTTAATATTATGTTTGTATTAAAATGTCTAGTTACTTCTATAGATACAAGATGTTGATCTCACATTATGTTTGATGGTATTGTGTGTGTAGATGTAACTGGGTCACATAATCAGATTATAAAATAATGTTATTAGTTGTAAAATATCATATTTTTTGTAATTGTGTCAACGAATATAATTACCATAAAATCTGTGTTGACAAATAAAGAACATAAGATGTTTTATAGATATTTTTCATCGAAATAACTAATGTTGTACGTAAAATGTGAATGGTTGTGTAAATTTTGGGATACCAATAAAGTGTAAGATGATTTGGGCTCATCTTCAAGATGATGGATAACAGTTTTATTAACAATCTTTTTCTCAAATTATATGTATTCATTCACATTGTAAGAAAGTGTACATTTTATTTGCGTTAAATGGTGACCCTGAGATTGTTTCACAGTTTGTTAACTTGATGTCCGTTGTGTGTTATTCCCAGTTCTGTTTGTAGGAAGACACTTGATGCCCAACCGAGGGCCAATGATGTTATATTGTATCAAGTATTCCCTCAATATCATAGCAGTGAAGATTCGTTGTATATTTTTAGCATTTATTTTAGATGTATGTATGTATATTATGTCTCGCCACCGCTCCTCGACGCGATGTATTGATTTATAAAATGATGCCAATTGTAATTAATTATTATATAGCAATCTCAAATACTCGATTCCAAAACTGTCGAACCAATTATAAATTAGGTGTTTGGTACAAAATGATAGTTTGATTTTTATTAATATTAAATCTGTAGGTTTATATGATTCTTTGAGTTCATATAGACCACTTTTGCACTAAGAAGAATTTAAACTAAACATCACATTTTCAATATTAAAGAAAACCAAACTATAATTTAACAAACTGGACATTAGGTAATTTATTAATGTACCCACCGAAACAGTGTTATATTTTTTATAAACTAGTACAACATTGTAAGTATTGCTGCTTGTCTGCAGGGTTCTGTGGACTGTCAACATGATTCATTCTCTGGTGGGGATTTCCTTTAGTATAAGCTGTTTCGCTGCTGTTTCTTGTGTGACTGATTAAAATACATAACAAAATTTATTTTAAAAACCTGAAGTAGTTGGCCGAACATGAAGTTCAAAATTATACACAGTTGAACGCATACGTGAAACTAAATCACATTTTAGTCCATCATATTCCATGTAGTATGTGCTGCAAGTAAAACAATACGAGAAAACCTACAACTTTAAAGCAATACTTAAATAACCTACAAACCTTTTGTTTGTTGAAATGATGGATACAATATATCTCCTACTTAAATGAATCGCTCGTCTTCACGGCCACTACTGCTCGCCAAGTTCCAGTAGACTAGGCGCCCGGGCCTGGTCTGACAACCTAGGTTTAGGTGTAGATATGGTTTTATATAAGGCATGTAGGTAGATATATTCAAATTCTCTATGATCATAACGAATCAATTTCGTTTCTCTGTAAAAACGGTGTATACAAAATTATTCTCGACGCGTTTAGGCCACTGTACCGAATGTTATTACAAGAGAAATAAATAAATATAAAAAATACTGTCTTTCCTTTTACAAACCAAACTCCTATAAACAAATTTTTCATCTTTAAAAAAATATCTACCCTCATATTAAAACTATTTTGTGAAAACCATTAGTGTCAAATATTTGTAAGATACCTTCAGATTTTTATCATAATTAATTTCGTCATTTCCACATCATCTGTCGTTATTAAAAAAAATATTGTGCTCTGTGTAAAAACACAGCTTTGGTGGAAAGCAGGCCTAGTTGTTGTCAATTAAATATAGCAAAGATGAAAAATAATACGAAGAAACTTACTTAAATCTAAGTTTATTACAACAAAATAGCAGTTTATACACTAATAGTGCACCATACCACACATTGTCCGATTCCAAGCATCCATCCATTCTGTACACGAATTTATACACTGAAACTGCAGAACATCAGTCGTGTGTGTGCAAGACTGCTACAACTGCAAGTTGGAAGCAAGCTTCATCCGGAATCCTCAACCAGAGGTGGACTAACTTACCTCCAACCAACTGTTGGTATGTACCTACCATTTTTATTTCAATATCATTCGGCCCGTGGTCGCCACTTGAGAACTTTTCTGCCCTAACGGTCATCATCTCTACGAGCTATTTGTCCCGCCCACTGCCGGCAGGCCCCCTCACTAGGTAGGCCAACGATCTAATGAAGCGGGAAGAGCCTGGATGCGGGCAGCCAGCCGTCGTCACACAATTTTCCCAGTGCAGTCCAGCAAACGGACGATTAACGTCCAGGTCATATCGTCCAAGTCGGGTTTAGAATCGCGCTAAAATAAGTTCAAGATGGACTGCAGACCGCAAACTGCAAGCCACCACGGTTTCTAGGTCTTTTTCACTGCGGTCAATCCATCAGTCTGCCCATCTCGGGCTTTATACCTTTAGCGTGGTTCAATGCGATTCTAAAGTATCCACTAGAGGCAGCCTGGCGCCGAGCGGCTGTCTCGTCCCTCGCCTCTAGTGGATATGCGGCTTAAAACCAGGCTATTTTGAAGGGGTTCTCTACGTTTTATCGAGTCGTTTCATTGAATGTCGTTTTATCAAATGAATGAACTAAGCATCGAATGCCGTATCAACGAAAGGTTTTTCTTGCTATTCTTCTTCTTCTGATTTTCTTCGTATATGTTCAGCAGTGGACGTCCTATGGCTGAGATGTTGATGATGATGAATGCCCTATTTACAATATCTGTCGGCCTTCATCTTGCTGCGGCGGTCGAGGAGCGCCTCGTGTAGCGCGCCCTGCTCGCGCGCGCGCCGCAGCTCTATGACGCTGTCTTCGCTCACCCGCAGTTTCTTGTCCTGGAACTTCTGGAACTTTTTGCTGGAACGAGACAGGGCTCGTGAGGACGACTGATAGTGATGGCAACACGCCGTGAGGCTTTATTTTATTTTAACAGGTTTCGAGAGTATGAAGATGACTCAGAGCACAACATTGCACTTGTTCTCAATGAGTCACACCCAAACTCTTGGGAAAATTAAATTAAATTATATTGTAACTGTATGTTTCCCAAAAATAAATAAATAAATTCCCATAGAGTCACACTGGTACTGATCACAAACATTAATTATGTANTGTTCTAGTAAATACGTCTCATCTCTATTTCCACATTATCCTAGTGATTATTAAAAACACAGTTCTCCTCTCTGCTTTGGTGGAAACCAAGTCTTAGTTGTTGTGAAATAAGCAAAGATAAAAAATAATACGAAAAACTTACTTAAATCTAAGTTTATTACAATATAACAGCATAGTGCACCAAACCACACATTGTCCAATTCCAAGCATCCACCCATTATGTACACGAATTTATACACTGAAACTTCAAATTAGACGTTTTGAGCAGGACATCAGTAGTGTGTTTTGCAAGACTGCAAAAACAAAAACCATTTTTCATGTCGTCGTCACACAATTTTCCGAGTGTAGTCCAGCAAACGGACTACTAATGTCCGGGTCATATCGTCTAATGTGAGTTTAGAATTTATTGCGCTGACCGCTCGCTGATCGTCAGCGCTGACAGATCAATATGTCAAGGAAACGTTCTCGAGTGACGCTGATCGCTCAGCGCCGACGCTTTTATAAGTGGATGGAGTGCAGACCGCAAACTGCATCTTTCTTTGACTTTTGCTTTTTCACTGCGGTCAACTGCATTGTCGCTTGCGGTTGCAGTCTGCAGCCCATCTGGACTTATACCTTAAGCCTAGGCGCAGACCATCGGTTTTTCGTCTGCCGATAGTTTAGTCGGGCAGTTGATCAGTATATGGGCATGTAATATGGAAGTGCGCACATTACACCGATTTGATTTGGCCGATTCTTCATACAAATTAAAATCGGGCCCAACTATCGGCCAACTAAAAATCGGTGGTCTGCGCCTAGTCTTAGGCGGTTAGCACACTACGCCGCGCTCCGCCGTCGCCGCCGACGCGTTGTCAGTGTGAAGTGCCGCGCGTGTTTTCTATACAAACTGAGGTACTTGCATACAATGATTAAATCTGTCGCCCCGCGCTCCGCGGCGCAGTGTGATAACCGCCTTAGCGTGCGTCCAGTGCGATTCTAAAGCCGCGTATCCACTAGAGGCAGCTTCGCGTCGAGCGGCCGCCTCGTCCCTCACCTCTAGTGGATATGCGGCTCAAAACCAGAGCCCCGATTACGATAACTTTTAACGTCTACAATCCAGACACGCTTCATCGATTCTGCGATACGATTGGTCAAAATAGCTGACGTACGCTGTTTACGCTGGCGTACGTCAGTTGTTTTGACCAATCGTATTGCAGAATCAGAAACGCGTCTGGATTGGAGACGTTAAAAATTACCGTAATCGGGGCTCTGGCTATTTTGAAGGGGTTCTCTACGTTTTATCGAATGTCGTTTTATCAAATGGTCATACTCTCCAATGTACGAATCATCGAAAGGTTTTACTTGCTATAATTCTTCTTTTCGTCTCCTGTTCTTCTTCTGTTTTTCTTCGTCTCTTCTTTTTCTCATGTTATTTTCCCTGACCCCATTTTGAGAGACCCCAAGAAGAGAAGATGAGACAAAGAAAAGCAGAAGAAGAACAGCACGAAAAGAAGAAAATAAAGGTGGGAAGAAAAAGAAGAAGACGATGTCACGATTAATACCTTTCGATGATACGGCATTCGATGTTTTGTACATTAGAGATTATGACCATTCGATAAAACGTAGGGAACCCATTTTGAAGGAGCCCTAATGCCCTATATAAAAACAAAGTGGGACGTCCACCCACAAGGTGGACCGAAGACATCATAAAGGTAGCAGGAAAGCGCTGGACGCAGGCCGCTACCAACCGGGTAACATGGAAAGCATTGGGGGAGGCCTATGTTCAGCAGTGGACGTCCTATCAGAGTAAATACAAATGAGTAGGTCATCTTCATAGAAACGCACCGAGCGCGGTTTGTATGTGAGCGCGCGCCAATACGTATGCGGCGCGCACGCACACACTGACAAAATTCGGTGCAACTCCCCGCTAATCCCCGCTAAATTTTGTCATATATAAATACAAACCGCGCTCGGGCGTTCTATGAAGATGACCTACTCATTTGTATTTACTCTGGTCCTATGGCTGAGATGATGATGATGATGAATGCCCTATTTACAATATCTGTCGGCCTTCATCTTGCTGCGGCGGTCGAGGAGCGCCTCGTGTAGCGCGCCCTGTTCGCGCGCGCGCCGCAACTCTATGACGCTGTCTTCGCTCACGCGCAGTTTCTTGTCCTGGAACTTCTGGAACTTCTTGCTGGAACGAGACAGGGCTCGTGAGGACGACTGATAGTGATGGCAACACGCCGTGAGGCTTTCTTTTATTTTATAGTCTGGTCAGTTCAGTGTAATTTTGTGCTCTCAGTCATCTTCATACTCTCAAAACCTGTTAAGGCCCGGTCCGTGAGCACGTAGAATTTTGTCCAATGACCCCTAGCTACCCATCCTTATCGCTCACGCGTAATTATATTGCTGTCGCGACTGTGCGACGGGCGCTCGCAGTGAGTGTGCGAGCGCGACAGCAACCTAATTACGCGCGAGCGATAAGGATGGGCAGCTAGGGGTCATTGGACAAAATTCTACGTGCTCACGGACCGGGCTTTAACAGGTTTTGAGAGTATGAAGATGACTCAGAGCACAACATTACACTTGTTCTCAATGAGTCACACCCAAACCCTTGTGAAAAAAATTCCCATAGAGTCACACTGGTACTGATCGATCACAAACATGAATTATGTACCTTTAATATCAGGATATAAGAGCTTCCATTATGAATAAACAATGTACAAAATACATAAAAAATAATTAAGTAATCTAAAGCTTACAAGTAAGATAATACAAGTAGGGGTGTGACTGGATGGGATTTTTTTCCCCAACAACAAACGTTGGACACGTTTTACGCGATTTCATATCAATATAGATTTATCTTTGACTCCCAGACGTTTGATACATTTACAGGACAATATTCTAAGTACTTTGTCCTTTGTCCAGCAGTGGTCGTCATTCGGCTGAAACGAACGAACGAACGATTTTAAGTACTTACACATAGTTAATCTCAACTTCAGCCAGATTCCCTTCCTCCTCGGCAGGCAGAGTGGTTTTGTTGACCTCTTTGCTTTTATTGCTTCGTATGTTGCAGAACTCCGCCGTGCCAGCGGTCAGGCTCCGAGCCTCTACTGAATCGTCTTCTGGGTTTACTGATATGAACTTATTTACTGAACTCAGAATTGCTGTTTTACCTGAAAAAACAACATATTTTACTTGTACCTTTGTCAATTTCACTGTTGAATCAAAGGACAATTTAATAGCTTGTAATGGTTATCACTTTGGGTTTAAAGAAGTGCAAGTGTTATGGCATCCCGATTTTTAAGAACTTAAATATTACCTCTATAGTCTTTTTATGTATTTAAAAAAAAAAGTATATAAGTAGTATATCCGTTAAGCTAGCACCCATAACACAAGCATTAAGTTGCTTACTTTGGGGCTAGCTGGCGCTGTGTGAAATTGTCCAAAGATTTATTATTTATTTATTTCACCCATTGAGTTATAATGTACTACGTACTAGAGAAGACATCTCAACTAGACTGTTTCTGGCACGCAAACAGGTCCATGGACCGAAATTCAATTAGTATGTGCTCAGCGGTTGCTGTGACAACACGCTTGAGTGCAGTTTTGTTTTTTGAAATATGCCATCCTATAGACGAAAATACTGTTCAAATAAATCCAGATACATATTAAGTAAAAATCAAGGAATGACTTTTTACCATTAAGTTGTACATTTATGCACTTTAAAACACTAATTTAATTTTAATTTGTTAATTACAAGGCGTCACCGCGGCGCNGGTTACAATTTTAACGTTGGATGGAACAACCAACGAACTATTCTATAACAGTGTGATTTTTTTTCCCAACGAATTTTTCATGACGTTCTGGTGTCCCCATAGTAGGAAATATTGGGATTTTGGACACGTCATAAGGTTGGAGTTCACCCGCTAAACTCTGGCAATATCCTACTCTACCTTAGATAGTTGAGATTGTACAATGAGGGCTATCGTTTTAGCGCTCACCAGTTAGCGCCACTGTAGAGTAAGGTCCTGTCACTTGCTAGTAGCGAAGACAGTGGCACCAACTGGTGAGCGCGAAAGTGGTAGGAGGACTATCGCATTTGCACTCCTCAAGATGGCGCCACTGTAGAGTAAGGTCCTGTCAATCGCCAGGGGTGCCAACTGTTAAGTATAAAAACGATAGCCCTCATTGCCCCTACTAGTGTTCTTACCCGTTAAATCTCTCGAGCAAACGATGCACTACGCTGTCATTTTTGGCACGATTACCCTGAACTGAACTTGGATTGTGTTAAGTTTATTCCCGATGTCCCCCACTATTTGTCCACCACTGGTGGACATCGATAAAAAAAGTTGCAATGTCCACCAGTGGGGGACAGCGCTACTGAAATCTTCCCGTTGGGCCCTACTGGTGGACACTGAGAAGAAATGTGTTGCTCTGTCCCTCAGTGGTGGACATCGAAACCAAAAAAGTTCCGTTGTCCTCCACTATTATATTTGTGTTCATGAATACAAACATTTTAAGTAAATCTTATACTAATAATTATACATAATAACATACATACATTTTTAAAGCATTTTTACTATAGTTTAAAACAATCCTTTTTAATTTATACTGACG